GTTAGCTATCTGTGGAAATGTGTGTCTCGTTGTACACCTCTCATCCATCCTACCTCTTTCACATCAGTTTTCTGGAGTGAAGATTGGTCATTGAATTGATCAGAGTTCTCAAGTCTTTCACAGCTGTTTTTCTTTACAATGTTGTAGTTACTGTATAAATTTTTCTTTCCTCATGTCTTTGATGGCTATAGAACTCTGGGGCCTTAATCACATTCCGAGGATTGTTGCTAAGCAACTGGCACTGCCTGGCACAGAATGATCCTGTTGTGTTGATCTGGTGGCTACTGTCATCCTAGGGAAAATGCCTCCCCAGGCTCTGAAGGTCAGGTTCAAAGAAAGGTGGTGGCAGTGTGTGTGGGCATGGGCCCATATTTTCTTTCCCAAATTCTAACCCTAAGGGTCTCTCTAAGTATTGAAGAGGAGCCCTGTAAGATATGTGGCCTGAACTATTCAGACCTGTCTCTCTTAATCTTTGAGAGAGGCAAGGCCAGGGCCTATTTGACAGGATGAAGTCAGGAAATTTAGTGAGAGCTTCCCATGAAATGAGGGCGCGCACCTGTGTGTGTGTGTGTGTGTGTGTGTGTGTGTGTGTGTGTGTGTGTGTGTGTGTGTGTGTGTGTGAGTGTGATAGAGCTGAGGAGTGGGCTGTTAGAGGGAGCAGGGATTTCTGGTTTCTGTCCCACAAATGCTGTGATGGTCATTAGTGAAGCCCCTGAAGGAGTAGGTACTGGTGTTGGGAGTAGTTTTTGAAGGGAAGGGAACCAGGAAGGTTTTAGAAAAGAAAAGGAGGAAGGTGTGAGGTCCCAAGGGGCAGAAAAGGGAGAGGTACTTAGCCACATAGCTTCAGGGTCTCCTAATCAGCCTAATCTCTAGAGCTTTCCTCTTTTAGAGATAGTGAGGCTAAAGGGGCTTGTCTCCTGCCACTTCAGGTAGTGGGAGTTGCCTTGGCTACCTCCTGCCCATACAAGGCTACCTATGGATCTGTGGTGTTCAAGCTTCCTGTAAGGAGGGCCAGGCTGACACTGTGCCCCTTCTCCAGGTGTTCTGGCGCTTTGGACTCTGACAACACACGTGATGTACATACAGGACTACTGGCGCACCTGGCTCAAGGGCCTTCGATGCTTCCTGCTTGTGGGCATCTTCTTCTCCACTGTCTCCATCACCGCATTCTGCACCTTCCTTGTCCTGGCCATCACTAAGCATCACGGTGAGGGCCTAGAGTCTGGGAGGGTATGCAGCTGGAGTGAAGTGGGCATAGGGGAGAGGTCAAACAGGAGGAACACTGTAAGACCAGACTCAAGACAAGCCATGTGTCAAGCAGTGATAGTGTCTGTAGTGCCCGTTGACTGGGTAAGACTGAATTAACAGAGAATTGACAGGTTTGTCTTGAGCCTAGAGCACATTCCACTCTCCTGAGATTACTGGGGTGTGGTTGTTGTGCAGTATAATGATGCACATTTATGTACTGCTTTAAGGTCTGCAGCACATGGGTTTGTTCCCTTGATGCAGTCCAGTGCTAGAAAACAAGGTTTGGGATAAATATAAGGCAGGGTGACTCAAGCATGCTAACCGCAGACTTAAGGATAAAGAGCTATAACTGGCCAGCCTCAGATCCATCTTCCAGATGCCCGGATCATCTTTACTAACTCAGCTTCTCCATCACACTTTGTCCCTACCCTCTTTATCTGGACCAGAAGATACTCATCAGATTTGGGTCTTCCTGTTGGGTTGGTTCCAAGACATAAAGGGCATCATGCAACAGGATCTGAGGAGGGGTTGTCTTTTGCCCTCTATACGTTGGCTCCCCTATTCTTGAGTGTTGGCAGACAAGATAGCATTATGAGACAGGACCTGGCATCATCTTTGGATCTCTTGTAACCATCCTTTCCTTGCTTCCTACAGGCTTGACAGATCCCACGAGCTACTACCTCTCCTGTGTGTGGAGCTTCATCTCCTTCAAGTGGGCCTTCTTGCTCAGCATATATGCCCACCGCTACCGAGCCGACTTTGCTGACATCAGCATCCTTAGTGACTTCTGACCTTGACTAATTAGCCTCCCCAGTGGGGTGGTTTTTAGTGATTGGACTCAACCTCTGAGAAGCAGAGTTGTTATTTCTGTGCTCCTTTTGTTGGGGGCTCAGGAACCATGGCAGAGGATATGCTGGTGGTGGTGGTGGTTGGGGGGGAGGGGCAAGGAGGAGGGTCTCCTAGGACACTTTTCCTCACCATGTGAGCCTTATTTCTTTATAAGGTGTCTGGTGTGGGGAAAGGCCTTGCTGCTCTGCTTCCTGGCCTATCTAGGGAGGGAATGCTTTGTACTTTTTCATATGGATCTATTTTCTTATCATAAGGTAAGCTCTTTTAAAGTGGGGAAGGAAGCAACAGGGTTAGAAGAAGGCTGTGGATGTGTGTTGGGGACAAGGGCCAAGAGATGGGTGGAGCGAGGGGTAGTTTAGGTTCCTTCTATCACCAAGCTTGAAAAAGTCCTTCCCTTAACTTTTTATAAGGGCAGGGATTGGGCCTGAAGAATATTTTGTCAATGAAGCTATTGGGGGTTCCTGAGAAGAGACTTTTCCCAGCTTCCCCATTCCCTGTCCCCAAGAAGAGCCTGCATTTGGCTTTACTCTTTCCCTGTATCTTGGGGAATGGACAAAAGGCTGTTTTCCTCCTTTTAGCCTCCCAAAAGGTTTTCCCTTCTCTAGGGACCCTGGGGGTTAGGCAGTAGTCCTGTAGCCCAGGGTAGTGCTCTCTTGGGAAACCTGAAATGGGCACAGATGTATTAGCAAATGCTAAAGAGATTTGGGAAGATGGTAAAATAGCTCAGGCTGGGAGTAATGTTTTTTCCAGGTCAACCCACATGTGCACATACCACCTTACACCCTCATCTATTCTCCATCCAGTCCTACCTAGGCCACCTTCCTGAGGTTGAGGTTCGGGCAGGGGAGGATGCACAGTGTTGCAGGGGAGGAGGCTTTGGAGACTGTATTGGGGCTAAACCTCTAAGGTGGAATTCTCCCCCTAGCCTGCCACAGGTCCCCTGCTTTCTTTCCTTCCCCTAGCGCTTTTTATGTTTTTTTCCCTACTTCTGGACAAAATAGCTGCTTTCTAATGCTATGCCCTTAACCCAGGGGCCTTTAATAAGTTCTAAGGGTCTGCTGTTAACATTTTTACATCGTATAGGCATTGTGCATGCTTTGGTTTTTAGCTGTTTCCTCCCCATTCCTTAAACTAGTTCTTGTGCCCACCCCAACCTCAGTCATATTTCCATGTCACTGTCACTTTGACAAAAATACAACAAACAGCTGCTTTATCACTCAATGGCCTCTGGGTGTCACTTGTGTGTTGGAGAGCTCCAAAGGGGACTTGAGGGTAATGCAGAATAAAGTCATCAGAGGCTGGGGGCATATCCTCATCTCCTCCTAGATCCTTATCCTTTTTTTTAAATTCCAGGCAAGGATATTTATGGCTTGGAGCATTAAGTAGCCAGGCTACTGGAGTCAAGAAGACTCAAGTTCAAATCCTGCTTTATACACCTCCTAGGCATGTGACTCTGAGCAAGTCATTTAACTTCTTCCTCATTTGTCAAATGGGGATAATAATGCCACCTTCCTCTCAGGGCACTTGTGAGAATAAAATGAGATAATATTTGTAAAGTACTTTGTAAACCTCAAAATGCTACATAAATGCTAGTTATTAGTAGAAGGGGAAGGGAACAAGCACTTATTAAGCACCTATTATGTACCAAGCACTGTGCTAAACACTTTACAAACGTTATTCAAACTCCACAACAATCCTGTGAGGTAGGTGTTATTATTATCCCCATTTTACAGATGAGGAAACTGGGTCCGACAAAGGTTAAAGGAGTGACTCTCCCAGGGTCACACAACTCGTGAGTATCTGAGGCTGGATTATAACTCAGGTCTTCCTGACTCCAGGCCTGGCACTCTACCCACTGCTCCGTGGAGCTGCCTATGTTATATGATGATAACATACGTTATTGTACATATTATCAATATACTTTATTCTAGACTTATATATGATTGAATTTTAATGTATTATTAGGACCAAGGTAGCCTGGGCCTGCCATGGTGCCCATTATTTGTTCTTCATTCTCAAGGGGCCAGAAGAAGAAGGGGAAAGGAAGAAAGAACTGGGGCTTTTCAGCTCAGGGTGGAAGGAAGGATCTCTGCCTTACCTTCTTCCCTCCCCAGCAGGGTTGTGTGCAGGTAGGAACGATATGTACCAGAACTAACTTTGTAACTTACTGTCCCCCCCACCAGGCTGAGTGCCCCACAGGGCTTAGGCCCATGGTGACTGGCAGCATTTAATTTCTTTACTTAATGCAGTGAGCTTCCGAGAGCCATTGCCTTACCAGTTTTTCTTTGTACTTCAGGCATATAATGAGCACATAAATAATCAGTCCCTCCCTGACACTGCACTCTGTATATGGAATAATGTCTGGTCAAACACATACAAGATATAGGGGAAATGCTAATGTCTCTAGGTGATGGAGAATCCACCTTCCTCTGGCATAGTGAACTAAGCATTGGTTTTTGGAAATTGAGGTCCTGGGTTCAAATCCTGGCTTTGCCACTTACTACTGTGTGACATTGGGAAAGTCACTTAACCTCTGGACTTTTGTTCCTCACCTGTAAAATGAAGGGACTAGGTGAAGATACCTTCCAGTTATGGGTGCAAAAGAGCTGACAGAACTCCTCTCAGAAAGATGGGCTGGTGCTGGCATCCACAGATTGGGGGAGAGTGGGAGTGGAAGGGAGGTACTGGTTAAGCAAAGATTGGAACCAACCTGGGTATTTCCAGAAAGGCAAGTATGAATGAAGAAGAAAGGCAAGAATGGCTACAGAATCTCCAGATTTCTCTTCTATGTCTGACTAGATCTCTACTCCCACGTACATATTCACACGTGTGAGAATATGCACACTTATGCACTTTCTGGACATGTTGTGCACAACACTTAAACCAATTCACCACTAGTCTTATGCAGTTTTAAAGCAAATAAACATTTATTCAGATTTTTCTTTTTCTTTTTTCTTAAACAAAAACATGCACATACACAGGAGTTTTGTGGAGGAGACATACATGCGCACACACACAAATACTTCTGGCCCCAAGCTGGAGCTAGGAAGCCCCTGTGCTGATGTCCCCAGGAGCAGCCCTTCTCACTGGCCCACATCTTTACCTCACCTCCTTCCCTTTAGCTAAGGCAGTTCTATGTGGGGACAGGATGCAAGCCTTAGGATGGGAAAGCTAAGGCTCCCTCTAAGTTATGTTGTATCCCAGAGAGAAGATAAGGGAGTTGGCACCATCTGCTTGGGGGAGCAATGGGGTGGGGGAGAGGGACAGCATGCTCACTCCCCAGGATACTGAGATGGTTGAATCAAGGTATACACAGTGCAGGCACTGAAGATGGGGGTGGGGTGGAGAATTGTCTAACTAGCAACTCTTATCAGATTGTGCTATGTCTTAGTGCCTGGCAAGGGCATCCCTGAAAGCCCAGTAAGTTTGGGGTGGAGAGGGGTAGTAGAGAGATGACAGGATATCTAATCATGCACAGGGAAGAGGAGACCCCTGAAGGCCTCACAATGGACCTGTCTTCTCTTGAGCTCAAACTTCAACAAAGATTGAGATTTCACATTTCCATACAGACCTTAAGGCTGTGTGGCGGAGGGGCTGGGGCCCCTTGGGTGGAGATAGTGGTTAGGTTAGGGGTGGGTTGAGACATGGCAGCCAAGGCTCTTGTCAGACTCCTAGAGAAAAGTGGTCTCCTCCTGTGGGCCAGAGGTCCTTGTAGGCCATGCTCCAGAGGGCTAGAGGAATCTGCCCTTGGAGAAGTCCAGGGGTGGGACAGTGGCTGAACACCACTCCCTTATCTCTCTAACTTAGTTCCTTTCTGGAGACTTTTCCCTGTTCCCCTCCTTAGGGCTTGGGGATATTCCCAAGTTGTCTGGGGTGACTGTCAAGGGAGGAGCAGGGCTGGCAGGCATCAGACCAGGACCATTAGAATCTGAAACCTCAAAGACTAGACATGGTGGCCATTGGTTAGAAGATCCAGGTCTGAAGGGCAGGAGTGGATGGTGGATTGGTTTGTCCTGAAGCCTTAGAGATTCATAGGCTCCTCCTCTTCCTCCATCAGCTGCTCTGAGGGCCTAGTTTGGGAGGGAGAAGAGGCAGAAATTGGCTACAGTTGGCGAACTCGGAGAGGGAAGGCTGAGGTCAGGGGGAGACCCTGCCATCTCTGAGTTAGGCACTGAAAACAGGAGGAGAAAAGCAAGCAAAGGTTAGGACTGACAGAGTCTAGGTGTACTCAAGAGAGAAGACTGGAGGGCTGTGAATAATACAGATAGATTCCAAAGTCCAGACTAAAGAGGCTGTTGGTGGTACAGAGTAGGGGAGTTACCTCTTTTCTGCCAGAATGCCCACGGAGAGTGAGGCCAGTGCTGACACTGTTCCACTTCTTCTGTGTCAGCCATTGTCACCGAGGGGACCCAAGAATCTGGACTGGAGGCCAACCACTGCATCGAACCCCAATACTTACCTGAAATAAGAGGCTGAGTAAGATTCAGGGCTGATTCTACACATCCTGATCATGAGTATGGAAACACACCCAAGGGCTGGGTGTCTTGAGTTCTGCAGAAAAAGGTCTGTAGCTTCAGACATTAACATAAGCTAGTCCTCAGGTCACCCTTTCCTCCCCTTAAACTCCACATGTGCACCCATTTTGCACTGCTTCCCAGCTCCCAGATAAGATCTGCAATGAAAGCAAACCTAAGAAACCATAAAGAAGAGCATGGGCACAGGTTTAGAGGTTGATGGGACAGCAAATGCCAATGTGGAAAGGTACGAATGATGGAGAAGTTATCAGTTTTTAACACAAGTGACAATGTGGCTTGGACTGCTGTGCCCATTCAGCCCAGTGGACTCAGAGGGGCTTCCATAGCTTTTCCAGCTTTGTAAGGTTTGTGTCCTTGCCCTGCTTCAGGCCTGGGACTCATTAGGTAAATCTGTCCAGGAAATGCTTTCCCAAAGCCCCCTGTACTGCAACTGAGAAGGCTGCTCTGTTGCCCTATCCCCACCCTTTTCTAGGACTCTTCCTAAAAGCAGCAATGGGTCAGCTTGTGGACTTCAATACCTATAGTACACGTTTTGGAAACACGTTGGGAAAATGGATTGGTCCTTAACTCCCCAAATCCACACATTACACAAGTTTTTGAAGTCTCAGGAACATTTACACATCAATTCCCAAATCAGACAGGACCTAGGACCCTTGTTAAAAGGTCTAAGCTCTGCCTAATTGGCAAAGGAATACTTGCCACCAGAGGCATAGGACAGCCTCCACACAGTCTCAATTTGAGGGAATGAGTAGATCACACCATTGTTTTTAGGTAGCCTTGGGGGAACCCTATGTTGTGTTCCATTGTCTAGTACCTACAGCCTAGCAAAACTCCCATGGAATGGGTCCCCGCATGAGAAGGTTTTTTTTATGCCCTCTCTGACCTTCTTACAGGGCTGTCCTATCATCTCTTTACTCACTGTGCACCCGGATCACAGCTTCCAGGGATCGAATAGCATTTAAGTTGGGTTTCTGTTTCCAGCTCTCCTCAGAGAGGGGATCCACCTACAGGAAATGTACATACAGTCACCTACAGGGACCAGATACCTTACCCTCTCCCATACCTAGAGCCTCCTGGGTTCTTGGCCTTGACCTGGACTGTACATGCAGTCCCCTTTCAGATTCCAGTCATCCCCATTTCTTTGCCTTAAGAACCTATCTTCTCCTCTACCCAAGTTGGGTGTGGAGAAGTGTCTCACCTTGTTTCCTAGCAGGGCAGTCACACAGGCTTCAGAGGCATCACAAATGGCTGTGAGATCATGGCCACCCTCCAAGGCCAAAACCACTGCTCCTCCTGCCAAGCTCATCAGTTGCTGTGTCATGTACCCAAAACCTGGGATGGGAATGGATGGGGACATGGAAGCAGAGGCTTCTTCTGCCTCTGTCTCTTCCCTGCTTGACTATTCCTGCCACTGCCTGCGGGCCTTTGTTCTCTAAGATGTCTCCTAATTACGACTGTCTCCCAAGGCCAAGCTGGTTTCCCCCAACCTTGTGATTGCCTCCTAAGGGCTGCCAGTTCAACCTGGGACGCACATCCTTGGGAGAAGGCTCTATTGCTGATTTGTTTTAACTGCTAGATCGTGGCCTCAATCCTAGTAGTGCCCATAGTTCTACAGGATGGATAGAAAGATGAATTGATAAGAATAGGTCTAGGTTAACAGGTCACTAGGATGCTCAGGGGACTTGGCCCTAAAATCTCCCCTAACCTCGAGTGTGACAAATTCATCATGCTCATAGGCACAAGCTGACCGAGGGTCATATCCCTTCTCCCACTTCCCACTTTTTATGTTTCAGTCTCAGGATGAACAGAATCTCTTCTTCCCAGTGTAGAAGTCAGTCACCCCTTGAGAATCTTCTTACACTTGGCAGAGACACGGTAGCCTCCCAGAGGTGGGGGGTGGCCATCTGCAGCATCAAACCCAGCCGACACCAGGACCAGGTCAGGAGAGAATTCTCGGGCGATAGGCATCACAACTGTTCTGTGGGAGCACATCGTATTCTCAGGGGCCATTTGGGAAGGGTGATATTGGGGTGCAAAAGGGGACATTACTAGGGCAAGGGGCAATATGGAGCCTCAGAACCTGGTTAAATTTGGCCCTAGCGACCAGGACCATGGGCCCTGAGAAAATCAGCAGGGGCACCCATCGTCTCTGGACTCAGTATGGAGAAAACCATAGCTCACACAAATATTAGATTCTCCCAACTGAGAAAAAAGTCCAAAGCTTTTGAGGGTCGGTTTTCCCTCCCACTCTCCCACTGTTGGGTTGTCCAAATATGTCTCTCTTTCTCCCTTCACTAAACTTGGCCTATCCTATTCTTAAATAGATTTTTAAAAAAATTTAGGCATTCCTGGGGCCTTTTACAACGTGCTAAATTCTCCAATCTTAAATATCCTATACTTCCAACAATCAAGGGACTATAAAATTCTTCCCTCAAAGCTCAATTCCTTCACAAAGCTTTTTTTGACTAACCCTATGCACCTCTAATAGATAGCTCTTAATTTGCATGAAGAAACTGAAGCCGAGAGAGGTTAACTGACTTGCTCAGGATCACACGATTACTAAGTGTCTGAGGCAGGATTTGAATTTGGGCCTTCCTGACTTCAAGCAAGCCTAGCACTCCATCCTCTGGGCCACCCAGCTGTGTCTATACAGTGACTGCTCAATAGGTAGCTGATTGCCTGTCTAACCTGGAGCTGTTGGAGGAACAGGCAAGAGAGGGAGGTCCACTTCAACCTGTCTTTATTTTATGTCCCAAACCTCCTTAGAAATCCTGTCACTCTGAAAACTGACCTGAAGGCTGCCAGGTATTCAGGATCTCCCATGGGTGGGTCAAGGCCTCCAGCCCAGGCAACATTGATGTTGAAGCCTTCTCCATTGCCAGCCCCGACCTGCAACGTGAGGCGGCGAAAGATGAAAGAAATCAAAGGGGTATCAGAGACTCAGTGTTGGAAAGAACTTGAAAGACCATCTAGTTTAATCCTCCTAGGGAAGAAAACTAAAGTTAATTAATTGGGACTAGAACTCAGGTCCCCTGATTTTCAGTCTCAGCTCCTGCCAAGCCATTCATGTTGAACCAGACTCTTTAAGCAGAGGACTAATGCTCTCATCTATCACATCAAGAAGGGAAATGTCAAACTCGGTGTCATCTTTGACTCCTCACTCTCACTCTTCATATCCCACCAGTTGCCAATTTCTATCATTTCTACCTTAACATTTCTTGTTAACATGCCCCCTTCTCTCCTAAAACAACGATTATCCTCTTGCAGGCCCTCATCACCTAATGCCTGAACTGTTGCACTAGCCTCCCTGCCTCAACTCTCTCCGCATTCCAGTCCATCCTCCAATCAATGCCAAAGTGATCTTCCTAAAGCACAGGTCTGACCACATCACCCCTCATCCCCACCCCATTTGATAAATTCCTCTGGCTCCCTATTACCTTCAGGATCAAACCTAAAATCCTGTTTGATTTTTTAATGCCCTTCATCATCTGGTCCCTTCCCATATTTCCAGTAACTCCCCTCCATGTACTTTGCAATCCCGTGACACCGGCCTCCTTCCTCCTCCTCCTCACACAAGACATTCCATCTCCCGACTCTCATATTTTCACTAGCTGTTCCCTGTGCCTGGAACTCTCTCTTTCCTCATCTCCACCTCCACCTCCTGAGGCTTCCTTAGTTCCTTTCAAGTCTATGTAAAAGTCTCATCTTCTGGGAGGAGCATTTCCTAGTCCTCCTTTATCTTCGTCTGTCCCTATCTTGTTTGCACACGGTTGTTCGCATCATGTCTACGCCATTAGTCTGTGAACTCTATGGGAGCCGGACCTGTTTTTTGCCTTTCTTGTATCTCTAGTGTTTAGCGTAGTGCCTGGCACATTGTTGGCACTTCATAAATTATTTGTGACTTGTCACCTACTTGGCAAAGACCCAGAAGAGTAAGCCGTCATTGAAATTGGGGTGTACTTTTGTTCGTCTGTTGATATTGCCTTCCTTTATGCTTTGTTTTATGATACCTTGTTCCTGAAGAATGGCAGATAAACTATTTTTACTATACTAAGGCAGCAGCTTGTGATTTAAAGAATTCCTGGGGGGCAGCTGGGTGGTGCAGTGGATACAGCACTGGCCCTGGAGTCAAGAGGACCTGAGTTCAAATCTGGTGTCACACTAGCTGTGTGACCCTGAGCAAGTCACTTAACGCCCCCCACCCCCCACAAACACCCAGGGCTCCTGACTTTGCCAGGAAAAAAAAATAAGAAAGAAAAAAATTCTGAAGGGATCACATGAAGTGTGGTGGCAAGAACATTGGACTTGATGTCAAATGATCTGGATTTGAGTCCTGACTCTGCTATTATGTGATTCTGAGCAAATTGTATATTTGGGCTATAGTTTCCTCAAATATAAAACGAGAAGATTGGACTAGATGATCTCTAAGGTCCCTCCTGGTGCCATGTAATCTGTTTGGTTCTATGTAATTTGTTTTGTGTGACAAAGTAAAGTCTGATGATAGAAACAGACACCTCCTAATTTGTCAATTTTTTTGGGGGGGGGTAAGGCAATCGGGGTTAAGTGACTTGCCCAGGGTCACAGCTAGTAAGTGTTAAGTGTCTGAGGCTGGATTTGAACTCAGGTCCTCCTGACTCCAAGGCCAGAGCTCTATTCACTGCACCACCTAGCTGCCCCCTAATTTGTCAAATTTTAAATTCTGATTTTGCATTTTGAGTTTTCTTAAAGTGGAACATTCCCATATTAACCGGCAGGTGCTACAAGTGACATGGGCCTGTTCCTTCCCCTCAAATAGCTCTCCAAATTAGGGCGATAACTCAATGACACTGCTTTTTTAGAGTGATGAAAGTGAGGAGGGAGCAGCCCAAGCAGTGCAGATAAACATTTGAGGAATTAGAATCAGACAGTAGAGAGGGAATGAAATCCCAGGCACATTAGAAAAGAGAATGCCTCTGACCCAAAGATGGTGGTGGTGTTATATAGTCAGTTTCCCATAGCTGCCAACTATTAACTTCCAAATTTTCTCTTTCTACTCCCCTTTCCCTGCCCCCCACCAGATGGCCACTTCTCATCCTTTATCAAAAAAATCAAGGAGTCCACTGTGAGATCCTTCTTCCTTGTCTGACTCTTCAAAACCTTTATGCACCATTTCTTATTCTCTCCTCCTCTGCCCTAGTCTCTGAGCAAGAGGTGGTTCTTCTTGCTAAAGCCAGCCATACTTGTGCCTTTCCTCCCATGCATTCTTTTTTTTTTTTTTTTGGTAAGGCAATTAGGCTTAAGTGACTTCCCCACGGTCACACAGCTAGTAAGTGTCAAGTGTCTGGTCCGAGGCCAGATTTGAACTCTGGTCCTCCTGACTGCAGGGCCAGTGCTGTATCCACCGCGCCACCTAGCTGCCCCCATCCCATCTATTCTGTTCTTCTGTGACAGCTTGCCCTTTTTACTTTTTATCAGTCTCTTTCCTTCTCTTATCTTCAGTTCCTTCTTATCCACTAGTCCCTTTCCTCCTAAGTTCTCTCCATCCTTAAAAGGCTTTCACTTGACCCTGCCATGACCCTGAGCACTACATATGGTACTATATATCTTTTCTTCCTTTCACCTGCTCTTTAAACTCAGCCATTTCTAATGTTACCTAATCTTTAACATTATGTAATGTTATCTAAGGTTATCACTGTCCTTCTAGCCGCCCAGTTGCACAACCCCAGAATCATCTTTCACTCTTGCTTTTCCCCTCACTCTCCATATTCAATCAGTTGCCAAGACTGGACGATTCTTCCCCTTCTGCTTCCACAACCTCTCTTGCACCTGTCTCCTTTCTACTCAGATGACTTCACCCTAGTTCAGGCTCTCATCACGTCTCGCCTCGACTATTGCAATAGTCTCCTAATAATAGGTGTCCATTGTCTCTGCCTTCTGTAATCCACCTTCCATACAACTGCTAACATAACAAATCTAAAACACAGATCTGAGCGTGTCACTCTCTTGTTCAAGAATACTTCAGTGGCTTCTACAAAAGACAAACTCCTTAACCTTGCATTTGAAGCCCTTCTTAGTCTGGTTTCCATTTACCTTCCCATACTTATTTCCAACTACTCCATTTCAGATATGAAACATTCCAGTCAAACTGGATAACTAGCTGTTTTCTTGAACTCAGCATTTAATTTCCCACCTCTATGTCTTTGCAGACAGATGTATCTCTGCTAGGAATACATTCTCTCCTCGCTGACCCCTCTTAGAATCCCTAGCTTCCTTCAGGATTTAGCTCAGATGCCAACTCCTAATCAAAATCCTTCCTAATCCCCACATCTGTGCTCTCTCCTACCTCAAATTATCTTGTATATACTTGTACATATGTTGTACCTTCCGATTAGATCAACAGCTTGAAGGCAGGAACTGTTTCATTTTTGTCATTGACAGTCCTTTGTTCAGTTTCATTTGTGTTTGACTCTTCATGACCCCATTTGGGAGTTTCTTGGCAAAGATACTGGAGTGGGTTACCATTTCCTTCTCCAGTTCATTTTACAGATGAGGGAACTGAAGCAAACAGGGTAAAGTGACTTACCCAGGTCATACAGCTAGTAAGTGTCTGAGGTTGGATTTGAATTCAAGTCTTTCTGACTCCAGGCCTGACTCTAACCGTTATGCCACCCAGCTGCCTTAATATCTCTAGCAGCGAGCATATAGTAGGCACTTAAAATGTTTATTGAATTAGACTTAAGTCAACTATTGTACCCAAGGAAACTCAACATACCTGAGGTAAGGAGATCATACCTGGATTTTGGCTGAGACCAGATTTAAACATCGAAAGCCTACCCCAGACTGATCCCTCCTTCTTTACCTCTTGTATCCTTTTTCAATGTTTCTTTACAGTGCTTGGGCTGCCCCTGCCCCAGTCTCCCTGCTCTAAAGAAACAGGGTCACTGACACATCTTGCTATCTCAGAAAACCCTCTGAGAATACAGGCACAAGAGATAGAAATTTCTTGTAACTTAGAAAGACTCAACCCAGAGAGTTCTACAGCTTTCCCAAGTTCAGCTCCCTAGCAAGGTAATTCTCTATCCTTCTAGTCTCTACCCCCAAGGAGGTGATAATCACTGGAAAAGGGGTCATTTCTTTGGATTTTCTCCCTTTCTCTCTTTCCCAATCAGTTTACTCTCATCCTTCCATCTTACTGACAGGGCTAAAGTCCTAGGAACTACAAGAAGTTAAGGACAAGGAAGCTGACTGCCTACAGGAGGATGAATCATCCTGTTTCCACTCCTTTGCATCAATACTGATGAGCCAATAGATGGGAGGAGGGGCTCAAATGTTACCTCATCAACAGCCCCACTGCCTGGAAAGAAATTGCCATCATCATGTCGATGTAGAGAGATGTAGAGCACGCTGGGGTCCTCATAGAAGGTTTGCTGAGTTCCATTGCCATGATGAACATCCTGTTTTTGGTGAGATGAGCACAAGTGAGGTAGTGAAGGGTCTAAGAGCTAAATAATGGAATGGAGAGAAAGGGACTGTAATTGGGCCAGCAATTAATATGTGACCATGAGAACACTCAAGGCCATGTGATATAAATGGCTGCCCAATATACCAATGTGGAGAAAGCATAAAGGCCCAGGTACAGAGATAGGGAAGAAGAGCAGCTGTAGTTATTACTGGCAGAAGCCCTCTTCTACTTTAAATCCTAACCCCACACCGCTGCACACGGAAAGCAGCTAGCCTATAAAAACCAGCCACAGGGAGGCCCTGACACTGATGACCTGAATTCTGACTACCTATGTCTGCTTAAGCAAAGCAAATTACTGTTATAGGAAATATTGTTGGGAGTCAGTGTTAGGATATTCCCAGGTCATGTGACTCAGGAAAATCCTTACCTGAAGTACTGGAATCCCACATCCAAGTCTCTTAGTTGCTGTGTGTCCTTGGGAGCCTGCCTACTTGGGTTTGGGTTTTTTAGAGAACAGTGTTTGTCCATGGGAGTCCAGCAAAGTCAGGAACTCCGGGTGTGTGTGGGGGGGTGTCGTTAGTCAGTGTCTGCTTTGCTCAGAAGGATTAGGACTGGTCAGCTTCCTATGGATGGTTGCTGCTAAACTCTTGCCACTAAACCTGGGCTCAGTCAGTTCTTGTTTAGAAGTAGAATTCAGGGGTACCCTTCATCTCAGCTATTCAGGGAGGACCTCTGGCAAAGAAGTCAATACGGAGTCCTGGCTCTGCTGCCTAGCATCTAGGCGACCACTGACAATTCTCTTAGCCTCCCTGAGTCTCACTTCCTTCATTTGTAAAATGGGACTAACATTATTGGTGCTACATATTTCTTGGGGTTGTTATGAAGAAAGCACTTTGAAACCAGAAAATTCTCTATTCTTAACAGCACACCTGGAGGAAGATAAGGGAGAAACACCTGGTGGGCTAAGAATGTTAGACTGTCAGGAAACCAGTGCTTTATCACCAGTGATTGATCAATCCTGGGTAAGTTACTATATCCTTCTTGGGCATCAATTTGGTTGTCTATATTTATCTCCTTTCCTTTCCTTTTTTTTTTTTAAATTTTCCAGTGCTAGAGTGAAGCTATAATGAGATCCCAGGAAAGAGAGTTTAAGCTCTAAGGAGAGAGATATGAAAGACACATGAAATAGGCTTTAGAGGAATAACTGTCTTCTTAATGCTGGTGAAAATTCACTGCTACTACTGTTATATACTGCTATAACAGTGGTTGTTATACCACCATAATAAGTAGGACTTGGGGTGGTGGTGGTACTCTCATGAGGAGTGGGGGAGAGTAAGTGAATCACAAAAAAACCTAGAGAAGTAGATACATTCAGATACATACATATGAGCCCAGAAAAACAACCTCACACTGGGCTAAGGTTATGTTAGTTACAAATGCTTTGCAAATGAGCTAAAAGCTCCTTCCTAAAAGAGAAACAAGAACTTAATAGACAACACCAATTAGGGAATGGGAGTGGGGTCAGTTTTGACATAGGAGGAGATGAAAGCCTATTTCTATCTCTGGGAAGGAGACAGGCTCCAGGAAGGATGGTGATCCTAGTCAAGCCTGCATGACCACTGGAGAAACTAGACCCAGATGCCTAGTGGATGGAAGTAGGGGGGAAATAACTTAAGTTTCACCCAAGGGTAGAGATCTTTCAGGTGGGGTGGAAGCAAAAGATAGGAAGATTCTCATAAACCCTGGCGGCCAGTCTATGGTTACACCAGTTAACCTTGGATCCATGATTTTTTAAAAAGTTGATAATTGTATTTCAATATAATTGGTTTTCTTTGCACTCTTTGGTATTTTATTTTATTAATTTAAAAATATTGTTCTGAGAAGGGGTCCATGACACAAAAAAGCATAAGAACTCTTTGGTTTAGACTACAGATATCACATGATAAGGATTCTATGTTTTGTAAATCATTTCTAAACTTAAAAAATAGTTTTTTGTTTTCCCTGTAAATTTATAAAGAAGGTTTCTGCTAATAAAATTCTACCTTTTTTCAGCTAAGTAAAGGGGCTGGATGGAATAAAGAGATTGGTGTACTCTTAAAGACCAGCTGTAGGGATGCAGTAACAGTGGCCAAGGGAAGAATGAACACGGAAAAAGGTCTGATTACCAATCTCTTGTTTGCCTCCAGCTTTCTTTAGCCACAGGTCTTGGGGTCACAAGCCTAGCTACAGGTAGATAAAGAGTGTTTATTCTCTTAAGGCTGTAGCCAGAGGGCACAAGATACGGCTGCTGCAGTCAGCTCAGGTTTTGGGCCTTCCCAGGTCTAGGAGCTATGTCCAAAGGGAGGCAAAAGACTTACCCAGTCCACAATGAGGATCTTGCTAACCTTCCCCTGCTGCTGTAGCTGCCGGCTTGCGATGGCCACCGAGTTGAAGAAGCAAAACCCCCTGGGAGGAGGAAAGTATTCCTACCAGTTTGATCTCCCCCTGGGTCCCTCCTTCAATGGGGGACATTCATAGTTCACCTGTATGTCTCTTCTAAGGGAGACAGAGAGAGGGAAACTGGGGGCAGGGGTGGCTTGCAAATCTTCCATTTGGTAAATCCCTTGAGGGGCTTATTTGTGTGTATATTCCTGTAGATTAACCTATTGCTTTTCTGGGAACTTCCTTACCCTTTCCCCTACCAGGCCTCCCACACCCAGGCCTTACATGGCAGTTGAATGGTCTGCATGGTGTCCAGGGGGCCGCACTACTGCGAAACCATTCTGGGAACAGAAGAACATTAGTGTCAGCATTACCCAACCAGACTTCTGTCTCATACCTTCCCTAACAGCCTTATACCAACCTACCTTTCTCTTGTACAAACTGGTCCTAAAGCCCAGGCTTCTGGTTGCTCTCCTTGTAAGAGTTGATGCTTTTTTTTTGTCTGCCCTAATTAGGTCAGGAATGACCATGGTCTCCCCAGACTTGCTTTTCTCCCCAATGCTCCACTTATACTTACATTCCCACTATAACTGTGCTTACCATGACTTGGCTGGATGTTAACACTTCACCATCTATCAATCAATAAGCATTTATTAAACGTTTACTATGTGCCAAACATTGTATATGGGAGCCTGGGATATAAATGAAAAACCAAGACAGGCTCTGCCTTTAAAGAACTTCCAGTCTATCTTGGTTGGCTGATTTTACTTTGTCATTTTAATTATTTTTCTAAGTCAATAGGTCTGTCTTGGATTCTAAGTGCTTAGAGATAAGGGGCTGCATCAGTGAAGGTCCCCTTCTTTGGTGCTCTGGAGAACCAGAACTAGGTCTAGGCCAGGCAGGCAGCCTCCTCAAGTACAAAAGTATACTGGGGATAGGGAGGAGAGGGCTGAGTGCAAAAAGGACACTTTAATTATTTAAATATAATTACATATTTTAATGTACCTAAATTTCATTTCATTTCACGCACAAATGTGTGCTTGCGTGTGTAGTGATATCACATATTTTGTACAATGATTAAGGCTCACAGTCTTTGGTGCACGGTAATAAATAGGTGTGTTTTCCAAATTTTGTATAGGGAAATTAGGGTTAATGTTGTTAAAAGATTCCTTATATAGACTTCCTTTATTAGGAATCATAGGTTTTAAGAAAGAGAATATAACTTTCAAATTCAGAAAAAAGCAATCCCTACCCAGTCTGTAGGGGAGGAAGCTTAATTATCATTTATAACAACATATATGAACCCAAACACTTATTTGGGTTCTGGTGCCCAGCAATAGGTCACATATAGAAAAAGGATATTTAAAGGATTTGTAGGATCTTAGGGCTGGATAAGAGCTTAGAGAGATGACCAAGTCCAATTTCCCTCATTTTTATAGACACAGGAACTGAGGCCAAGATTGAAACCTGCCTAGAGAGGGCTGAGCTGTTTACTCAGCTGATTAACAGCTATCTTTTGGATGGCTGAGATAAGGACCCCCTTAGAGATGACTGGACTACTAATTAGTAGTCCACAGTTCTGAGTTCCCTTCCCTACCAAAGAACAGGTGTCCCAGGGTTCAAACCCAATCTTGGACCTGCCTGCCCCCAGTCCCTACCCCAATCCTCCAGAAAAGCCCATGACAGATCATAGGGCAGCTGCTGGATGTGAATTCCTAAGACACCCTAATCCTACTTTCTACCCTTCCCTAGCCCTCTCCTACTTTCACCTCCTACCTTTAATTCTCGGGCAGCCACCTTGAAGGCAAGGTCAGTTACGCTTCCAGCAGCCCAGCGGGCTGCATTGGAGGAGTGCAGTTCATTCCAGATTGTATCTGTGTCCACCTGTAGGGGCCAGAGTCACAGCCAATATCACCTAGGGTTCTACAGTTACTGTAATGGCCTAAGGGCACCCCACAGGACAGGGATCAAAGCAGGCAGTAGGATGGGCAGTGCCCATTCCATGGCAAGAATGCCAAAGGTCAGAGATCTGGGTAGACAGTTCTGCCCCTCGAGGCTGAAGAAGGTCAGTGCCTTGCACTGCCCAGAGATCGGGCCTGTTGAGGCCCTCAAATCCCAAGGTACTTTTTCTTTCCCATCTTTAAGTCACTGGAACTAGTTCCAGATTGGCTGGCACATCCTACCATCGACATCATCCCTGCCTCCCCATTCAGGTAAAGGGACATGGCATTACCTGGGTGGAGCTCAGGGTTTTAGTCAAGCTGGGGGTTTAAACCCCAGCTGACCCTGCTCAGGCCCTTTGGGATGGTCCAAGCTGGAGGGGCCGTCTGCACCACTGTCTTCCACTCAGGGCCCTAGCCTGGGCTGGGAGGCCTCCCTCAACCGAGCCCCAGGGCCATGGTTCCGCTCCCCTCAAAGGCTAGGGAGGGGCCAGGAGGGAATGGGGAGATGGGGCGTGGTGGACCAAGAGAGACAAGGAAGGCAGAGAGAGTCACAAGAAGCTGGAGAGAGAAAGAGAAAGAGAGAAAGACAGAGGTAAAGGGAGAAGGGAAGAGAAAACAGAAGTAACAACAGTTGGAAAAACCAGAAAGTGGCAGGAAATAGAAGTTTTAAACAGGGTACTAGCTGCTCCCAAGTGGTCCTACCATCATCTGCAGCTTTCTGCTTTCCTTCCTGTACCCAAACACCAGACCTGGATTTTATAATTTCATACTCCCAGCTCAAGTTATAACCAAGTCCACCAGGGCATTCAGTCCTTCCACTCCATCTACCCTTGGTTGGTACCTCCTTTGCTATGAGGCAAAGGAGACTAACTGGTGGGCCACAGTATGAGATATAGACATCCAGCATAGGAAAAACCCATAATGGGGGAGCAAAGAAGGATCCCAGGGATATAGTGAAGGCCTGCTTTCTGAAATGTGGGGCTACTAGCTGTTATCACTGCTTTCCAACCCATGCCTGAAAGGTTCTACTTGTCTTATACTTGCAAGTAGCCTGGTGGTCTAGGTCTGATGACCAATTATACTTCATGGTAGGGGCAAGGTGCACATACAGCCCTTTCACAAGGGAGTGACTGATGTCCCAAATCCAGATCTTGACCCTTCTTCTCAGGTCCATGGCTCAGCAATGATTTGCATATCTGTTATGTGCCAGACAATGTGCTCAGTGGTATGAAGGACTTAAAAGATTCAAAGACAAGGTTGTTATTCTTCCTAGCCATATGATCTGTAGGCTTTCTAGCCAGTAGCAGGGAAGGAGAAGGGGCTGATAATTGGTAAGAGCTGCCCCTAGGAAGTTCTTTCTGGCATACAAACTATGCAGGGAACTTAAGTGCTAGGGAATACAGAAAGGGAACAGGAGGCCAGCAGAACAGGAACACTGCCAGCAGGTATAATGCCCAATCAGTGGGCTACAAGGGAGCACTTACCCCAACCCCACCACAGGGCAGCATCACAAACATCCTTTGTGCCAGGATCCCTGCAGGGAGAGTGGGTACATAGAGAATTTTATGGGATATGAGTCCTCTACTCAACATCAAATGGATAGAAGGGATGGGGCAAAGGTAACGAATGGAGAAGCAACACAGGAGAAAGGACAAAACAGAGGTGGTTGGGGTAAGTATGGGCATAAGCATGGACAAGGAGCAAAGTCTGGGACATCAAAGCTAGGGTGACAGGTTGAAGAAAGGTAGTGGAAAGCAGAGGTGAAGACCAGATCAGAGGTTGGGCTAGACTGAACAACTGTAGGGATGTGATAGGGTGGGTTTAGGGCAGGAGGCAGTACAGAAGGGAAAAGGTTAGAAGGGGGGGAAAGGCTAGAGCTGGGAATGATGAAAAAGCTTGAGGATGCTACAGTATGGGGTAGGCTGGGCACGGTTTCCTACCTGCAAGCTTTCCATTGTCCAATTTGAGTCGGCTGAGTGGGTTGGTGCCATAAAGCAGCACGTGTCGTTCATCATGGACTGACTGTAGCTCCTCCAATGAGGCCTTCCTGCCTCGAAGACACTGTGCAGAGAGAAGCTGTTACAGTCCAGCCAAGCTCTTGACTGCTGTGGCCCTCCCCTCTCCTCATCCTTCATACTCTCTCTTCACTCCTCTTCCTTCCCACCCCCAACCCCAATCCCCATCTCCTCACCTCACACTGGCTCCGTAGTCCCCGTTCCTGTAGCCTTGACCAAATGCTCTGGATTCTGCCTGCATGCTCAGGATGGTTGCTGTTGTCCCCACAGGAGCACTGGTGTTTCAGCATCACTGAATCATACACCAACCCTGCCAGGGTACCCGGCAACAAGTTATTGTTTGTGTGGGGACATTGCCCCACAGGGCCATAGCCATGCCCAACACTCTCAGATACCATCACACAGCCCAACACAACCAACTGCCTGGTCAATGCTCGACTTCCCTTTATAGGGCCTAATGTACCTCCACCCCAACATTCTCAAATACGGCCATGTTCATCCTGGTATAGTCCTCATGCCTACACACAGCTGTAGCCACTGGAGCCCTGATACCCTCCCAGGCAGCCCACATGACCATAGCCCAACACCTCCCCTCATTATCCAGAGTACCCCTCCCAACAGCCTCTTTATACGTGCCCACGACCACCCTGACATTGACTGACATCTCCAATACAACCCAATGTATCTCAGTCCCCAGCATACATGTACATAGTAGTCACACCTAAACACATGAATTACAGACACACAGCAGCCAGGCAAATTAGCATATGTCTATGTGGCCAGGCCATAAGTGAAATTAAATGTTAGTCTCACAGGATGATCCTCACACTGAATGTCATAATCCTAAGGGGACTTAGAGATTAAAATCTGGAAATCCTAAATGGCTGTTTGGTGATGGCTCAGTGGCTCGAGTGCTGGGCCTGGAGTCTGGCCTCAGACATTTACTATCTGGGTGGCCCTGGTCAAGTCACTTAGTCTCTGGAGAAGAAAACTGCCAACCACTCAAGTATCTTTGACAAGAAAACACCATGGACAGTACTGGTGTGCAATGGTCCATATAGTCACAAAGAACGGCCACAACTGAACAACTGAACAATATCTTACAGTTCAATAGCAAATGAGATTATCTATCCATCCATCTATCTATCTACCTACCTACCTACCTATCTATCTATCTTAGCATAGCCTTTCCCCCCTTATATCATTATTACTGCTTGAGGGCTTGAGGTGGGGTAATAAAAGCACTCAAATAGTTCCCCAATATTTTCCTGACCACCATCCCTGAGGAAGAGCCAGGGAGAGCAAAAGATAGAGGGGGAGTGAGAAGGAGAGAAGATAGGAAAGAATAAGGAAAAAAAGGAAGGGGAAAAGGAAAAAGAGAGAGAAGTATAGGAAGAGCAAACAGAGAATGGAAGCCAAGAGCTGCTGTGGCCATTTTTGGATAGTTTTAAATGATTCAGAAGCTGGAGGATGAAATGAAGACCTCCTAAGGTTAGTAAGCTAGCTCAGGCTTAGCACTTAGCTACCTTGTCTATTCTTTGTCCTCTTATCACTGTGATTAGAGATTAGGCTGTTTGTCCCCACTGCTTAGGATACCCTTGTTCTGAACCTCCTGCCTCTTAGAATTTCTACTTTAATTCAAAGCATGCATGGCTCAGGAGCCCCCTACCACGTGAGACCCCTCCAGATCCCTCCAGTTAGTGAGTGCTCTCTGTGCTTTGAAATGACTTTGTATTTTCTGGTATCTATTTTGTATTTATAAGACAGGTAGGTGGTACAGGAGATAAGAGTGCTGGGCCTGGAGTCAGGAAGACTCCTCTCCCTGAGTTCAAATCTGGCTGCAGACACTTACAAGCTTTATGACCCTGGGTGAGTCATTTAACCTGCTTGCCTCAGTTTCCTCACCTGTAAAATGGGCTGGAGAAGGAAATGGCAAACCATTCCCGTATCTTTGCCAAGAAAACCCCAAATGGAGTCACAAAAATTAGGAAACAACTAAACAACAACATTCTATATTTACTTTTCTGTATTTACACTGTATGCCTCCAGGGAAATATAAGCTCCACAGGACCAATTCTCTTGACTTCATCAGCATCTTGTACACTTAATACACACTTAATAAATATCTGTTGAACTGAATTGACCATCTTGTTTTCCCAACTACATCCCCTATGGCCTGGTCTGGACAAGTCTCTGGAGAGATCTGAGGCTGTCTCTAGACAGAGAGAAAATGGTACAGTTAACAGGTCTGGGAAAAAAGAGCTGTCTTATGCCCAAGCTTCTTTTTTTCTGGCTTACTGGAGACCCCTGTTTGGGGAGGAGGGGGAGCAGGTACATGCTTCCTTCTCAGTTCTGCCTATTGAAATCCTGTTCTCAAGCGGTACTTTTTTCTGGGAAGTCACCTCTGACCCCACTCCTCCCTGCCAGCCTACACAAGGGTTCTCTTTATCTGCAATATGTTGTTGTTCAAAAAGCATACTGGTTATATCTTTCACTCCATCCATCACACAATGCACTGTTTTACTGATTTCCATACATGAAGTATCCCCTTCCCTTCTGGTAGATTTTAAGCTTCTTGATGGTTTTTCACTTTTGTTTTCCCAGTGCCAAGGGCCATGGACATAATAGGTCTTTAAATGTATAAGGATACTTCAGAGAGTGTGCAGTGGATAGGGGAAGAGAAAGCTTGTATTCTCAGGTGTCTCACAGAGCTTGAGAGAAGAATCCTAGATATAGGACACCAAACACAATGTCAGAGATGGACAAATGCATCTTTCCTGGGCATTATACACTGGACAAACAGGGCTTCAGAATTCATGAACAAGGATGGATAAAGAGCAGGGGTTCTTAACTTGAGATGTATTATTTCCTAAATATTTTGATAACTATTTCAGTATGATTGTTTTCTTTTGTAACCCTAGACATTGTTTCACCAGACTGCTAAAGGGATCCATGACACATCTTGACTTAGACACACACACACACACACACACACACACACACACACACACACTCCTTCCAATAACCTTTGGTCTTTTTTCTGCCTCGGTCTCAATCTCAGTCTTACCAGTTGTATAGGGCAGGGTCCTGGCAGGGGTCTCAGGGCAGGGTAGTACTAAGGCTTGGCTAGGTGGTTCTGAAGTTGGCAAGGAGACGGGAGCAGCTGGGGAGGACTGTGCCCTGGAGAGGGGCCGGTGTCCACTTTGGGTAGAGGGCAACAGCAGTGAGTCACCTGCACTTCCCCTGGGAAGCCGACCCAACAGCCGTTGCTGCTGTTCCCATAGGAGTATCTGAAAGAGAAGATGGCTTCTTAATAATTTGATTTCTCCAGCTTTAAACACTACCTATCTGCTCCTTCCCCTAGACTAGTGGTATTAAACTCAAATAGAAAACAGATCCCTGCTGGCTGCATATAGACTCAGATTAACATTAGCTATCTCGTATGTATTTTTATTTATCTCGTTAAAGATTTCTCAATTACATTTCACTCTGGTTGGAGCAGGGTGCACCTGGGAGTTTTACCGCCTGTCTGCCCTCAAGTTTGACACCTCTGTTCTAGACCTCATAGGATGATAGGATGATAGATAGGCTATCTGGCCCAACCTCCTTATTTTACAAGTGAGGATACTGAGGTCCAGGGTGATTCAGCAACTTCTATAAGGTTATGCAGGTAGTATCAGAGATAGGATTTGAACCCAGGTCTTCTAATCTAGAGACAGGAGTCTTTTCACTAACCCACCCTAATGTAGTTTCTCCAGAAAACCCCACTGGAGGATTCTAGTGCCCATCACCACTGATTCCTGTGTTGTTTTCCCAATTTCAAAAAGGCCTGGGCTGATCATTGTCATCTCACAAAGACCCGGCTCTCATACTCCACAGCTAGGACCCAAGCTGGGCTCTTCAGCGCTCTTAAATTGTGGTCCTGCTCAGATCACAGGTCTTTCATCTGGAAGGGGCATAAAGATTCCCCAACGCTCTTCACTTAGGGTGAATGTGTATTTAATCTTTGGCTAGTTAGTTTAGAACACCAAACTAACTAGTTAGTTAGTTAGAATACTGGATCAATGAGGCCAAGATCAGAGATTCCCAGCCCACATGGGAAAATGAACTCTGATTGTGTTCCAAGGCCACAGACTCTATCCCTAGCCCCTGCCAACTGCCCTAAAAATGTGTGCTAGTCACAAAAGAGACTGGTTGGGAGAATGTGAATGGACTTTAGACTACATCCCCCTGGAGACAAAACTCCAGACTGTGTGCCCTCTGGTGGTGGTGAGCTGTAAAAGTATCTTTATATGAGAAGGCTGTTATATTTTTGCTGTATGTGTGTAACTTGAATTCAACTGAGCTCATGCCACTGTGGGGCAGGTGCTGTGGTGAGTCAGGAAAGAAAGACGCTGGTGCCCTGGAGCTGCTTCCTACTCTGATGGTCCCATCTCCCCCTCATTCCTGTCCTGTCCTGTCTGTGCTCCTATAGCCCCCTACTAACACCCAGAAACCTCTGTGGGAATGGGAGTCTGGCTGTGGAGGCTGTCTACCTGCTGGTGCTGCTGGGAGGAGGCAGGACCACCAACTTCAGGCTTCCCATGGCTGAGGTCCCTGTGTTCTGGGCCTCGGAGAGATGCCTCGTTTGTCTCTAGGTCCTCTGCTGAGGGGATCTGCCGAAGTCGAGGCTTCTCACTTGGTTTTGCTGGCCTCTGGAGAGGATAGATGCCAAGGGCTATTAAGTGATTCTGAAGTCAGTGAGGCAGGGCTAGGAAGTAGGGTGGGCTAGGTGAACCTGATCTGCTTAGCCAGCCATTGACTCCTAGGAATCTATGCGCTTTATCTAGTTGAGAGTTAACTGCTACCAGCCCACCCTGCTCTTAGCCCCTTTCCCTCCAAAGTTCCCCCTCCTCTTTCATATTACCGCATAGTAGCCTAGCTTAGAACCCTATCATAGACATACTTCCTGACCCCCCATCCCTCCCCTCCCCTTCCACCCCTTTTCCCACCTCACCTTGCTCAGCTGTGAGTGTTGTTTCAGCCAATCCAGGCGGGGCTGTAGGGAGCCTAGTGGCTGGGGAGCAGTGGTGCTGGGGGGCAGGGGCTCTGAGCGAGTCCGGCTCAGTGGCGTATGGGGGCCTGAGCCTGAAAGCCGTTCACTGGAGAGTAGTGATTGGGCAAAATGGAAGGGCAGTGGCCCAAGCCCAGGCACTACAGAGAATGAGAATAGCGTGAAGAAGGGAGAGAAGCAAGAGAAACGTCTCAGAAGTTCAGAGCAGTTGGGAGGCGAGGAAGGAGCGGAGGACGTGGTCATTGGGGGGGAAATGGAAATGTGGACATAGAGGGGAGGGGCTGAACAAGGAGGTCTGGAGGGGCTGCTGGCAGGAAGGTCATACAAGAGCTTTCTGGGAAAGTCAGTCACTTCTGGTGATATATTCATTAGGGTATAGCGACCCATTCTCCTGCAACTTATTCCCTTCCCCACCAATACCTTCCCCAGGAGCAAGAGGGGGCCTCACCAGTCAGCAGTGGGGGATGAGATATTGAGGGCTCCAAGATGAGGATGGGCTGCAGGTGAGATGCCAAAGTACCCCCTGCCTCAGGCTCTAGGCCTGGGGGCAGGAAGAGGGGACCATGGGGGCTCCCCAGGACAATTCCCCGGGGCCCCAAAGCAGGATGAGTCCTTCGGTCACCATCAGCCTGGGAGAGAACAGAGGGTGAGCAGGAGGAGGCTAGTCAAGGGGGGAACTGAATTACAGGTTAAGAATAAAGGAGATGTTGAATAGATATTGGATTGGGGGGAAGCTGAGTAGGGAAAAGACTTAGATAAAGAAGAGGAGGAAGAAGTGAATGCCAAGGAAGAGCTGGGAAGAGAGCACAGGGGGGCTTGGAGTAGAGAGGAAGTACCCTAGCCACTTACCCTGGTGGTGGCAGGCAGTCCCAGGGTGATTTCAGGAAGCGTGGACACCGTTGGTAAGGCAAATGGGGCAACTGAGCTTTCCTGTAGTCGAAGCCGTTGGGCTAAAAGCTCCTGCCATAGGGAGCAGGATGAGAGGTCACATCCGTCAGACCTTTCCCCACATGGAAACCATTCTCTCTAGGATTTGTACATTAAATTCTCAAGGGGCACCTAGTTGGGTTCCCACGGCTTGAATGTACTCCAGTGGCCCTCCCAAGGTCCCATGATCATTGCCTGGCAAGCAGTATTTGGTAAAGATGGAGTATTTACCTCAGAGCCCATGGCAGGAATGGGGCCATGCTCACTGTCATTGGGGGAGCTACAACCTGAAACGGGTGTGCTGCTACTGCTAGGGGATGAATCTGGAATGTTGGGAGGAAAGGAAAGAGATATCCAAGGATGAGGAACAAGGTCCTGTCCTCCTCACCCCTCAGCACTTTCTCTCCAAGAACAGACTCCTCAGTCTTTTCTGTTCACCACTCCCTGCCAAGCCCCAGCCCCAAAGTCAGTCAAGCCTTCGTTTTCTTGGTAAAACCACCCTTTCTCTGAAGTGGGGGACAGAGCAGCAGTAACCTTGGTCCCACCCCCTCCCCCACCCCAGGGAACCTCTGCCTGGTGCCTGGCCTGCTCTGGAAATGTCCCCTCCTCTTCCCTAACCCCCCCCCTCACCCCCAAGGGGCTCAGTGGGGCGCCGACGAAGGCTGGGAGGAGCGCTCTCCTTGCGAAGCAGTGGGTTCTTCCTCAGCTCCAAAGACTTCTTGGGCTTGTAGCGCAGCTTCAGGTTGGGCTCTGAGACTGTGGAGAGGACTAGAGTCACCCCAGGCTCTCTGGCCCCCCTCCACTGACCCTCCCTTTCTGGGTCCATCCCTCTCCCTCCAAAGGAGTAGGGGAAATAGCAGAGGTACTTTCTCTCAAGGACCCTATCCCTCCCCTCACATTTCCTTCCCTCTCAATTCTGTCCTTGTACCCCTTGACCTGAGTTACCTGTCCCATCATTTCCCTCATAACCCCTGCCACCCCTGGTTCTCTCCCCAGCTCACCTGTCTTACGCAGGGGAAAGTGTTCTGGGGAGTCACTGAGCAGACTAGGAACTGTGGGCAGCAAGCTGTTCAGCACGGTGGGGGGAGCTCCTTCTGTCTCTAGAGACCCCAGGGTTCTGTGGAGAAAATGCTCAAGCTGCTCCAGAATAGCTGGGACCCTAATGCCTGCAGGTATATAACTGCACAGGGCCCTGAGCAGCTCTTCATGTAATCTCATTCACCTGGGGACCGAGGCTACCTCAGCTACCAGAACTTCCTGTGTCCCCAGCACTATGCATTAGCAAGTGCAGAACTGATTCCACTGGGCATCTCTCAGGTAGGTTGGGAAAGCAATGCGCAGGACCACAGGCCTGGAGTTAAGCAGGGGAGGGGAGTGGAGCAGGGAGCACAAGCTCCCAGAAGACAGCTTTGGAGGCAGTTAGGAAGACCTGAGTTCAAATCTGACACTAAGCTATATGACTCTGAGCAAGTCACTTAACTTCTATTTGCCTCAGTTTCCTCATCTGTAAAATGAGGATAATAGCACCTATCTCCCAGAGTTGTTGTGAGAATCAAATAGAATAATAATTGTATAGTGCTTAACACAGTGCTTAGCCCATAGTAACAGCTATATAAATGTTAGTTCGAAGGACATCAGTGGGTCTAGGCAACGTCTTGTGCCCATTTCACAGGATCATAGGATTTAGAGCTAGAAGAGAACCCAGATATAATGGCACCTCATCTGATGAATGAGGAAATTGAGGCCCAGTGAAAAAAAGGACCGGTTCAAGGTCACGTAAATGGCCAAGTCAGGATTTGAACATAAGCCCCTGATTACCAATCTACTCTGCTCCCTTCTGTACCATTTGATCCCTTCATTTTTAATAAATCAGGAAACTGAAGTCTAGGGAACTGACTTGCCCGAGGTCACACAGCTAATAAGTAGAAGAACCAGGATTTAAACCTTGGTCCTCAAACTCCAACTTTCCCCTCTACACCACTGCCTCTCTGGGCAGGCGGGGACACCTTAGTTGCCCCCATGCTGACCCCTTACAATAGGCTCCAGAAAGCAGCACTGTGTGTAATTGGTCTCCTTGCCTCAAGTCTCCCCTCTCCAAACCAGACCAGCTGGGGATCTTCCTAAAGCAAAGGTATCCTTTGTTCAGTAAACTCTAGTGGCTTCCTCTAGGATCAAATATAATCTCCTCTGCTGGACATCTAAAACCCTTTGCAACCCAGCTCCAATCTACTTTTCTAAGTTTTTTCTCCACATGGCATTATATTCTCTATGATCCAGCCAAACAGACCTCGTCCTCACGTAGACTATTCCATCTCCAGGCCTTTGCACATGCTTCTCTCTTTCTTGGAATGCTTTTCTCCTCTCTCTGACTTCTCAGAAGCTCCAGTTTCCTTCAAGTTCAAGCACCATCTCTTACATAAGATAAGGCCTTTTATGATCCTCCACAGCTATTGGTGCCCCCTTCCCTATTACCTTATACAAGTGTACATGTTTCCCCTAATGGAATGGAAGCAGCTCCTTGAGGGCAGGCACTAATTTTTGTCCTTGTATTTTCATTGCCTAGCACCATGCCTGGCACACAGGAGCCACTCGACAAATTTTTACTGATTTAATTGATCAGTGGATGGAAGGACTAGTTCTGTGCACTATTATCTAACATTTTGGAGGCTTTGAGGCTTGGGTCGGGTGGTCAGACCAACGGGGCACTGACACTGAAGATGCACCTGCCCTAAGCACTGTGACACGTATCTACATCCAGGAGGGTTTTAAAGGAGGAGGACTTTGTGGGCAGTGGGCTGCTGTTGTGTATGTGTTAGGTATGGATGTGTGAGGAGGCAGCTGAGTTCTCTTTTTGGGGTGGTTGGTATCAGAGAACTAGGGGGAGGAGGGAGGGATGGCGGGAGCTAGTGGGTGTGTGCTGTTGGGGTCGTAGCTTTTTTTTGGTAAGGCATTTGGGGTTACATGACTTGCCCAGAGTCACCCAGCTAGTAAGTGTTATGTGTCTGAGGCCGGATTTGAACTCAGGTCCTCCTGACTCCAGGGCCAGTGCTCTACTCACCTAGCTACCCCAGTCACAGCTATTTTTGTTAAAAATAGGGAGTGTACGTGGGTCGGGGAGGGGAAGGAAGGACTCACCTGAAGGGGATGTTGGAATGGGTACTTCTTTCCAATGCTGCCTGTTGCTTCTTCAAGATGACTTCAGCTAATTTCTGTTTCACAGCATGGCTGGCCACAGCACCTGGGGGTAGGGGGGTTGGAGGGAGGGAGGGAGTAGGTGGGTGGGCTCCTAGCACACTCTCTGCCCAATGCCCAGCTTGGGCCCCCAGCACTTCATGTACCAGGAACTCCCTCCCCATCCCCCAGGCCTTTCTGCTCTTCCTCTCTCTCAGAGCCAAAAAATACAGTTATAAAACACACACACATTTAGAGCCAAAACTGCTGTGTGAGAGCTGACACAGGTATGGAGAGGACCAAAGAATCTCTAACACCTCCCTCCCCCCTGCCCCCCTCTTCTCACCAAAGATGCAGGGAAAGCCAACCAGCCCTGGTGCTTTTCCTAGGGAGGGTCAGGGGCATCTGGGGACGAGAACCAGGAAGAGGCCTCCTTTACTTACTCCGTTTGCTCTTGTCCTTGTGGAGAAGTTGCCTCAGCTCCTGCTCTTGATGTCCTCCTGGTGCCTCTTGCACTGGAGTCTCCAGGGAGAGCTGGGGATGGAGTGATGGAGAAGTCAGGAGGGTAAGGGAGGGGACAGCAGGGTGAGGGGCGGAGGGGACAGCAGGGTGAGGGGCTGAGGAGACTCGAGCCTGGTGAGGGACACACTTAGGGACTAATGTGATGTATCTAAGGTCCTGGAAGAGACTTACCTGAATGTGTTCAACCTGCTGATGCTGTAGACCAGCAAGAAAGAGCTGGTGGTGCAGATGCTGAGAGCGCTGAAGGGCCAGCAGAGTTGGTTGTGATGCAGGCTCCACAGGGGGCCTCTGCCCCACCCGAAGGTCCATGGGCTGGAGCTGAGGGACTGGCAGTGCTGGGCGGAAAGTGGAACTGGCTGAGGACAGGAATTGGAGACGCAAGGAAGCATTGAACAAGGAGCAGAACTGCCCTGATGACCTCTCCCCCCCTCCCCCGACCCCCATCCACATACCACAGCTTAGAACTGCAGCCCTCCTTACACGGACAGCCAGTGAACTTTGGAGTTGCAGAGTGAGTCCCTCTGGCCCTCAGTCCCACAGTTCCACAGCCCCCTAATCCTTCCTTCACCCTGTGATCAATCCTGCTTTCCCTAGAACTGAAGGGCCCATTCCCAGTAGGGGCAGACTTCCAAAAGGCTAAATGTGGAGATACTGGACTCTGGTACAGACCCATTCAAGTCCTACACCAACATGGTAGGACCTAAACAACTCCTCTTGGGCCTTGCTTTCCCCATCTGCTAAATGGAGAGGCCTTCATGAGAACAGGCTAAATGACTGGTACCTCCAACTCACAGTCCTTCAGACTTCTGACCCCTGGGTTGCTGGGGGCAATCTTGGCCACAAAAATGAATCATTGGTTCATTTAGACCTGTGCTAATGTGCCTGCATCCTCCAGTGCCCTCTGTGCCCAGTGGCACAGCAGAGACTACAGGCACAGCTGCCTCTTCCTGGAGTGCCCTCCCCACCCACTACCAGGCCGGCCCCTCCATGGTGCTGGGAACCCTGCCAAGGTCTTGGGTGAAAATGGCTATTTATAGCCAGCTCCCAGAGCAGGTTCCACCAAGCACAGCCGGTCCCTGCCGTCAGAGAAACTCAGGGTGGGGAGGAGGGAGTGAGGGAGGGAGGAAGAGAGGGAAAGTATCCAGGAGAAGGGAAGAGTTGTAGAGGGTGGAGGGGAGTGCTTGCCCTACCTGGTAACACAGAAATGAACCTAAGAAACCTTCCAAAAGAGGGGGCTTATATCTTTTTAAATTTTTAAATGAAAACCCTCCCCCCCTTTTTTTTTTGGAGGGGAGCATTTATGATATAGGGAGCTCCCTTAAAAGGGAGCAGATCAGCTATCTATCAAAGCAGATCAGCACTTTTCTCTGCAACTTTTAATCTGAGAGAAGTGCCTGGGGCACTGGGAGGTGAAGTGAATGACCCTCAGTTAATTCCTGAAGGGTAGCCAGTCCTCACATCCCTCATGCCACACTGCATGACAAGAAGGTTTCCAAGAACATGGATGTCAAATGTTCCAAACCCGAGTTCCCTCAAAGCAGGGCACACAGTCATGTTGCCTGGGGCTGGTAGAAAGGTATGGGGCAGTATGGCACAGTAGGAAGGACACTATCTTAGGAGTCAGGAAACTAGAGTTCTAGTCCTGGCTCTTTTACTAATCATGTGACATCGGGGGAGTCACTGTACTTCTCTGTACCTCAGTATCCCTATCTGTAAAATAAGAGGACTGGATTAGATGAGAGATTCTTAAGCTTTTTGGTTGGACCCCTTTGGCAGTTTGGAGAAACCTACGTACCCTTTTTCAGAATAATGTTTTTAAATACTGAAGGAAATCTAAGTTTTGTTAGAGGATTGTGAAAATAAAAATGTAATTTTTTTCCCCTTCCAAGTTCATGGTTTTTTCTGGGTTAGTTCCAGGTTAAGATTAGATGATCTCTAAAGTCCTTTCCAGCTCTGTGGTACAGTACTTTCAAAGACCAATGGAGTTAGAGTCAAAGGACTTGGGTTCAGATCTTGGTTTTGCTACTTACTACAGCCAGGTGGCACAGTGGATGGATAAAGCACTAAGCTTGAAATCATGAAGACTCATCTTTATGAGCCTATATCTGGTCTCAGACACTTACTACCTTTATGACCCTGGGCAAGTCACTTAACCTGGTTTGCCTCATTTTCTCATCTAACTGGCAAAGGAAATGGCAAACCACTCCAGTATCTCTGCCAACAAAATCCCAAAATGGGATGACTTTGGGAAAATCACTGAACCTCTTTAGGCTTAATTTGTAAAATTAGGGGGGTATCCTAGATGAACTTTAAGGTTCCTTCCAGTTTTATTTTTTTTGGGTTTTTTTTTTCTGATGGTGAAACATTTTTTTTATTGTCTTTCAAATATGTCCTTTTCTCAAATGACTCTAGTGTACATCTTGAAAATAAAACCATAAATTAACGATAGAGAAGTCTGGCATCTTTAATGCCATTCAATGAAAGACTGAGCCAGGTTTCCAAACAATCAGCATTTTATAATAGCAGCAACATTTGACAGTAAAGAAATAAACACAAGACACAGTGGTCCCTCCCTGTCAGTTTTAAATCTATGATCCTGTCACCCCAAAGAAACTAGATGGCTGTGGGCTTGGGAGTCTGCTTCAGGATAAGTTTCCCAGGTTTCTCAGAGACAAAGTCCTCTCCCCTGAAGGGGCCCCAAAATTCACATATTTCCTTAAGTTCTGGGGGATAGAGGTAACATAAAGCTATGTAGATTTGCTTAGGACCCCTACTGATGAAAGAAGGGAAAAACCAACTAAGAAATGGTTAAATCCTCACTAAATCTATGCTTTTTTGTTTAGCCGTTCTTCGTATGTCCTATGCTAAGTACAATGCCTGGCACATAAGTGCTTAATACATGTTGATTGACTTGACCTGACAATGAGTGCAAGGGCTTTGGCCACACCTAGCCCAGCCTAGAAACTTGAGGCTTTCTATCTCGCCACTATCTTTTCACTTCTGATACTTTCTAGCTATGTGGTACCATGCAAGTCACTTAACCTTTATGTTTCCTTACCTGTAAAAGGGGGGTAATAATAAAGGAAGGGCAGTGAAGGGAATAAGCATTTATTAAGGGCCTATCATGTGCCAGGTAATGTGCTATGTGCTTTAATAATAATGATAGCACCTAAGTAAGTTGTGAGTTAAATGTAGTATGTCAAGTTCTTTGCAGACTTTAAAGCACTAATTAATCAATGCAGACTCATGCAAACTGACGCTGGGCTGGAGGGCTGCTCAGCCTAGGAGCCTGGAAATCCCTCTCATAGGAAGCCTGGCATTTATGGCCCTTCACAATCTATCCTTATTACTCCTCTTACACAAACTCTCCATTCCAAACAAGCTCACTCGCTCTTTAGAGCACTCCATGTGTCTATCTGACCATGCTTTTGCTCACATAGTTCCTCCTGCCTGGACTGCCCTCCTGACTCTTTGCTATTTATCTCTACTCTATCCATTCTTCAAGGTCCAGCTCAAGGCCTTATTCCTCTGTGATATCTTACCAGATCCATGGCACTTACTCTCTGTACCATTTATCTGGCATTTCCCCTATCTCCCTCATTAGTTTCTAAGCTCTTCTCCCTACAGCATTTAAATATGTGTACTAGGAGAGTGGCTTTCCTTGTTACATTTTGTAGTAGGAGTCGGGCTGCTATGTACCTTCTTTTGCTTTCCCCTCCTTGCCACTCCAGCACATCTCAGTCCCTCTCTGTCCCTTACGTCTTCTCTTTGCAGAACTCATAATTACTCAATTCTTTCAGCAGATGAACCCTGTACCTTCATGTCCTAACCTGCCTAACACAGGATGGATCTGAAAGTGGGAAGGATCGGGGAAGTGATGGATGGGGCACAGGCCAAGACTCCTGGTAGGTGGGGGACAGGGGAGGGGAGAGGGAGGTGGGAACATGGGACAAAACTATAGTGGAAAGATCACTGGACTTGAAGCTGAAAGGCCTGAGTTGGAGTTCCAGTTCTACTACTGGATGCTGAGTGATCTTGGGCAAGTAACCTTTCTGAGCTTCAATGTCTTTCTCTATAAAATGGGGATGATAATACTTACCTTTCTTTCTTCACAAGATTATTGTGAAAATCAAATGAGATTATGTATGTGAAAATGCTTTATTATATAGTGCTATATATATGTGTATATATACATACACACATATATATACACACACACATATATAAAAATAAAACATAATAATATTTGGTTCTGACCCCTCCAATGGTGGCCTACTAGCAAAAAAAAAAAAAAATGGAACGCTTGGGGCTTCAAGGAAGTTGTAGCGCAGGAGGTGGAGAATGGCAAGAAATGGACAAATTGTACATAACCTCCTACACATGGATTAAACACACGTTCCACCCACCACAGCCTAAACAACAGAGCATAGACAGTACCCTTTCCCTCACCTCTCTACCCTGTCCACTTGTCTTCTTCCTCCTTTTTGAGTGCCCTCAAATCAGGGATGAGATCTACAACAGCCTATGAGAAATGGCTATAAAAGCCCCACTCTTCAATTCTTCCCCATGAAACAAACCAACTTTTTCCTCCCTATTCCCCTGATGCCTAGCATCCCACTCCCACATCTCCATTCTATTCTCCCTAAAGCCTTTTCTCCCCTCCTTTTCTTGTCCCTCAGTTTCCTATTCTTCCTGTGCCCTGCCTGTAGCACTCCTCCAATTCCCCACCCTTGACTTACCTGTGCCAGGGGGGTTGGGATACTGGGGGCCAGGGCTCACCTGGGTCCCATCTGCAAAGAGAGAAAAGAGTGAGGAAGCTGCAGAGAGGAAGGTAAAATTGAGAAGGGACTGTGCTATGTCAGGGCACAAAGGCCCAATACTGGGGGGATCTCTGGGGCTTTCTATTTACCTTAACCTCTGAGTGGGATTGAGACCACCTACCCAAATAAAAATTCAGAGGTTTCTCTCAGTAGAAACAGAAGTTTTATTTATTCTAGCAAGTCTCATGTGAGAATTGGGCATCACCTACCCAGGGTGGACTGGAGTAGGGAGGCAGGATCCAAGCAGCAAACAAGCAGTTATATACCCTTAGACAAACAACTCTAAAAAACCCTCCCCCACTTGTTTACCAGAATCTCTTTAATCTCGTTGGTTGAGGTGAGAGACCTTACATTCTACCCAAAACAATCTTGGGAGCTATAAGATTGCCTCATTTGGCGAAGATAAGGCTGGGGTGGTGGTTACAAAACAAGGGAGGGGGTGGGCAACAGGTGTATGACCTGATCACATGATTTACAGGAAAATGAAACTTACGGCCAGCTAATGCGAAAGCCTTAACTAAATTTTGGGGCACAGCTTCCATTTCATATGAGAAACTTACACTTGTTCCACACAGTCCCCCCTCTCATTTCATAGTTGAAAGTTTCTCATGCCAAAACTGGTAAGTTTCTGCAGCCTCCCTATTTGCTATTTCATGAGGGTTTAACCTTCCCTCTTCTTCCTGACTGACTGGCATCCACCCTTGATTCCCTGATATCATTAATCTTATGGACTCACCAGCAGGCTCTCTTAATGTAATCATCCTAGAGAGTGTCCCCTGTACAGTAGTCATGCAAGGGACACACACTGGGAGTAGTATGACTCCACTCACTGCTATCAATAAGAACCATAAAACCTGCTTCCACCAAGTTCCCCCAAACCAGGACCACTCTTTTAAGTAAATATGGGAAGGATTAATCTAAACATTGACAAATCAAAGGGGCAGGGCCCTTCATAAGTGTAGATACAGAGACTCAAAAGAAAACAATAATGCAATTGTCCCTTTAAGATTCAAAAATTCTTTTCTTATACAGCTGTCTAGCAGAGAACATCATCAATGAAGTCCTCTGGTCCTTGGTATTTATTCCAGCCATCTCCAGCACAGCATCTCAGCATCTTCTTCTTCTTGTCTTCCTGTAGGAACCAGCTTTCTGTCCATTCTCCTACAGAAGTGATCTCAGCACAATTTTAAATCACTATTTCTAGTCCTTATAACCCTGATCATTTTTACAAACTCAAAATTAAAATCATGGCCAATTGTTGTGTTTAAGAAATTCATATCAGAACCCAGTGTCTTATACTTTACATTAATCCGTTATTAATTTCCTTACCAGGGGGATGAGATTTCACTAAGGGATTAATCACAGGCTTCAGTACATATCAATTTTTAACACAGTACATGTAAAATCTTAAGATTTTAGTCATGATTTGTTTCTTTGATGGCATTTACAAAATAAATCACAAGCCATTCTTCTTTTAACATTATTAATCAATGGTAACAAAACTTTAGACAAGTATGATATTATCCAAATAACATTCTCACAAGCTCCTGATTATCTCCACACCATTACCAAAAATTAAAAGACCCTAACTCATACCGGAACATAGTCCCAGTTCTATAATAACCTAAGATGTTCCATAATCAATTATTTTAGTAAATTTGTTACAGTACTTATAAAACCTTCTGATTATAGAAACTAGCCACTAAGAGATTAGAGCAAGGGGACAATATTTCCCCCAACTTCCTGTCAACTCCAGACAGTGTTAGGTTGAACTGCAAACTGCATTGAGCCAGACTTAAAGTCCGCCAGGTTTTGGTTAAGGACACCTGGAGTTAGACTCAGAAACAGTCAGTCATTATCCTGGCAAGTTCCAACAATCAGTTTAAGATGTGACTACAATCTAATTCTTTTCTTATGTCTCATGCTGACTGCTTGCTCTGATCATAGAAACGTACTATAGAAGGAAAAAGAGCAGGGACAGGTGACGTATCAAATATGACAAGATAAAACATCCTTAGTTTTGTTTAAATTCAGATAGAGTCACAGTTCTCCAATCATGCAGTATCTGTTTCTCCTCATAGCCAAACTCAGGAATAATCAGGTGGGAAACATTCCTTTCCAAAGGACAATGGGGAAACTGAGCCAGGAGGATCCCATCCTAGACTGAGGCTAAGACTGTCCCCTTGGCCTTTTTCCCAAATAAATCACATTTCCTCTAAGTAGACCTCCACCTGTTCTTGTGGCATTTCTCTCAGATACTGATTTAATACAGACAGTAACTATACCCAAATTCAAACTCAAAACAAAATTAGTTATAGTCCCAAGAGCCTTTTACCTCAAACAGCAAGTCTCACTAATCACAGCTTAAAGCCAGATGCAGTTACGTTCACACGCATGAGTTGCAATAAGCAATATAGATTTAGATTTACCAAGACTCATACATAAGAAATCTCACTTTACGTAAAGATCTTTCCTTCTCAAATTTAAACTTGCCCTGGTGTAAAAGCCAATCATTAAAAATCATTTCTATCTACTGTACCCAAACTTGCAACTTCTCAGCAAGCTAAGTCTAGGAGCTGCATAATCCTAACAAGCTCTTTTCTCAGGGCAGATGACCTTGCCAACACAGATGCAGTAATTAATTATCCCTCTTAGGTTTTAGCATTACAACAGTAATCCCAAACAACTTAGTTAAAAATCTCACAAATTTCATAAATGATAACAAAACAATTTTAACTTTAAATAAAGACAAAATTTGGAAATATTATGATCTCTTAAATTACAATACTTAGAAGGAAATGTTACAAAACAGGATCATATAGAGTACAGAGTGCCCCAACAGCCAGATTCATTCCTTTTTCCCTTTTCTCTGAAGACACAATTAATTTAACAGTCTAGATTATAAAAGAAATTGCCCTTCCAACAACATAACTAATACAATTGAAAACAGACTCAATAAAAAAATCATTCTTTCTTTCTAGAACCTTTCACTAGATTCAACAGTCTCCTGGGGCCACATAGTTAATAAATTTCTTACTGCCAAATAACAATATGTGCTCTTAAAATTATACAAATACACATTTCTAAGTTCAATACCCTCAGCCCTTTATAATGGGATATTATCCACAAATTCATATATTTCTTCAATATTTCAGTTTCCCATTCACGTCCACATTTTCTTGCGAGAAAGTTTTACAAACAGTTTGGAATCACCTATTGTAATCAGGTCAGTTTAAAATGTACTGGGTCAGTATTCTAACTACTTCTTTTTGCCTTCCCTCCAGGTAGGCACCTCTGGAGCTTAATAATTAATTGAACAGTAATAATCATAACTCACAATAACCAATATGGCATCCTCCCAGGGTGGGGAACTTAAGACCCCCCCACCCAAATTACACTCACCAAGACTACTAAACAGCTTTCTTTTTGCATTTCTGAAGGAAGATAATTGAATAGGGCTCTCCCTTTCTCTCTTCCCAAACTGCTTTTACAACTTTACTATGCACTCTAAACAATTCACTCGTCTTACACTATTTTTCTACTGTTCTTTAGTTTCTTTCAATTTATTTTAGTGCCAAACAGTATAATAAATTCTGACTTAAGCATTACGTTAAGAGTATCACATTTCATTTGAAATGTTACCAGAATAGATTAAATTACCTTTGGTTATGTTCCGGTACTCAGAAACTTTTCTCTTTTACCAGAGGCAGAAAAGATTAAGTGCTACCTCTCTTTTTGATCTGAGGGCAAAAGGTTCCCTTTTTCTCTCTTTGTCTCCACACTCACATTTGGCCAGAATTAGAATATATAGAGAGAGAAATTATGTTTTTTCCCAAAAGTTTCAAACCTCCTTACTTTCACACTGTGCAAATAAACTATACCTTCCTTAAGCTTTCTACACATACTCCTCTCTCCTACATGCTTAAACTTTCTTGCCTTTCTGTCTAATGGACTTTGATTAAAATCCCTTTAAAACCACACATATCTTATTTCTTTCTAATTCTGACCTGACACTTCGAAAATCCTTCTCAACTTGCTTTTTACCAATCATATAACCTAAATAATAAAGTATTTTTCTCTCTTTCTCTCTTCCATCCACCTGCTCTTCTGAGGCTGCTGTTACCAGGGAGGAAGAGGGGGAGACAAAGAAAGCGACTTTCCACAGTCCAGCTGCAGCCTTTTGCTGTCTTGCTGCAAAAGATACACACTGACACTCATACCACACACACACACAAATGCAAAAAAATTTGACATACAACAACCCTCTGTCCTGTAGAATCCTCAAATCCTCAAATCATATTTAATCATTTTCTTCCTATCCTCTATATTTTGGTAGTTCATTCCGATTCTGTAATCAATTGCCTAAAGGACTGTCTATAGGTACCTCACATTTGCACTCCGACTGCCTAGATTTAGATTGTCCCTTTCCCATTCTTAGGGAACCCCTAGGCCCTTACCTAGGGAATTTATGGGAGTCGTCACTGAACTCCCCGAGTCTAAAGACTCAGCTGAATCACCGAGGAGGGTCTCCTACTCCTCACCAGTCACCCATGAAGCTTTCTCAGCAGTGTCCTATCTATTCCACAATTTGATTAGGCCTGGACTCCGCCTAGAGTCTGCCCTAAAGGGACCTCACCCTATGCATTACCTCCAGACCCCTGAGTGTTTATGTCTGGGTTGCACACATACAACTTATGTGACTGCTCTCACTCACCAGCCGGCCAGAATTTCTTAGTTTTGTTTTAATTGTCGGAGCCCTAACAAGCCTTCTGTTTCTCCGAATCCCTCTCTTTGGGTTTATTTTAATGACTGGGCAGCAACCTTCCTCCGGAGCTCAAGACCTCCAAGAAATCTCGGATGCATGCTTGGTCTTGACCTTGGCAGGGAAGCCCCCTCCCTAATAGAAAATACCAGACGAACTCCCAGTTGAGTGGGATTGAGACCACCTACCCAAATAAAAACTCACAGGTTTCTCTGTGCATCACCTAACCAGGGCGGACTGGAGCAGGGAGGCAGCAAACAAGCAGTTATATACCCTTAGACAAACAACTCTAAGAACCCCTCCCCCACTTGTTTACCTGAATCTCTTTATCCTCATTGGTTGAGGTGAGAGACCTTATATTCTACCAGAAACTAAGAGATACATTTTACCCAAAACAAGTTTAGCAGCTAGAAGACTGCCTTATTTGGTAAGCATAAGGCTGGGGTGATGGTTACAAAACAAGGGAGGGGTGGGCAGCTGGTGTATGACCCTACTATATGATTTATAGCAAAACAAAACTTAGGCCCAGCTAATGCTAGAGCCTTAACTAAATTTTGGGGCATAGCTTCCACTTTATATGAGAAACTTTCACTTGTCCCACACACCTCCTATAAGCCTGATCTCCCACAAACCTGGAGTCTCAGCCATCAAGTGGAGGTACTATGCCCCTTCCTTTCCTCAAAGACAGATGTGGGCTGGGAGGTTTCTCAGCCCTCTCTCCTACATATCCAAATGAGTTTCATGGACATAAGATCACAAAATCTAGACCTGGAAAAAGCCCATGGAGATGATCTAGTCCAGGGGTTCTTTTCCTGAGGTTCATGAACTTTTTCTTTTGTTTTGTTTTTCGCTAGGCAATGGGGTTAAGTGACTTGCCCAGGGTCACACAGCTAGTCAGTGTAGAGGCTGGATTTGGACTCAAGTACTCCTGACTCAGGGTCTGTGCTTTATCCACCGCGCCACCTAGCTGCCTCATGAACTTATTTAAAAAAAAATTTTTAATAACCCCATTTTGGTATAATTGGTTCCATTTGTAGCCCTATATATTTTATATTACACATTTGAAAATGTTATTCTGACACCCAAGTCCTTGGCATTGTCATATGATTCAACGTCAGAAACTGATAAGATTTTATCAGCAAAAATAACATTAAAGAAGCAGGATTACAACCAGTTTTGTCATGGCACCCTAAGGACCGTGGGGCTTTTCCATTTGGCTAGCAGCTGAAACCCTTCCTATTAGGTCAGTTCCCCAAGAGCAGGGACTGTCTTGTTTTTCTATTTGTGTCCCTAGCACTTAAAACAGTGCTTTGTACATAGTAATCACTTAGTAATTGCTTGTTTCAT